TTGCACCCATTTTTTTTTTCTCCTCTCCCCCCCCCCCCCCCCCCCCCCCCTTCCTTGGCCCTAGACTAGGTAGGGAAGGGTCACAGTTGGAAAATGTGATCGGAGATCTGTTTCTGTTTCACATCAAGAATTTGGACAAAACATTTACAGATGTGCTCTGCGTATGAGAGCCTCTGCCAAAAGAATAATACCATGTTCTCTAGTGAATTGTCGATTCCTTTCTATGCAATAGTCTGGCTTGAGTGGACAGAGAGGAAAATGCTCCCAGTTCAGCATATATCGCAGTGTAGGTGCTAGGATGCTCTTGAAACTAAGAGATAGGAGTTTTGTGCCTAGAGCCTGTTTTCCTTGGGTCTTCTTATCCGCTGGGTGGTTGTATTTTAAAAAAGGTGGCCTGGCCCCTGCTGCCACCTCTTCCTACCCCTACGCTTTAAAGGGAGGGAGTAATTACACTCTTAGTTTTGGGGAGGGGGAGAGGAGGGGGCACAACAAAAAGGCATGCATACCTGTGGCGAGAAGCGCATTCTCAGCACGTTGTCTTCCTGCAACCTTTGGCAGCGACCTGAATTTAAGATGTTGTCTAAAGTGACCACGCTTCTAAGAGTAATGCTAGCCCCCTGCTTGGCACGCTGCCTGTTTTGGGTTCAGTTCTCATGCAGTTGCATGGATTATTTGAGGTGCTGTACCGGGTCTTGGTGCTCTGTGTAGGATCACGGACTTCTGACTCGGGCTTCTAGATAGCATTCTATGGGCCAGAACTTCACTATTAATTTTTAGGTAGCTGTAGCGATTTGAGCCACTCTTTAAATACTGGAAATGAAGTTCAACAGTAGCTGAAATATTTACAGCTTTGTTCTACAGTATCGGATTTTTTTCAAGTACTATGGTTTTGCTAGGTATTGTTTTATTACTTATTTGCCAACCTCAAATTCCAAGGAGCATACTCATTAGATGCACTGGGTTGTTCATTGACATGAAATATGAACGGTGTTCTGGTAGTGGGTGTGACTTGGTGTTTTCCAAGTGACAGATCTTTTGAGGTGGTCATTATCTTCCTCATGTAGGTTAGACCTGCTTTTAAGATAATGCATTTGTGATGTAGGGCTGTAGTTCAGGACCACGGGAGGAATGAGCGTCATTCCAATGTGTCTCTCTCCACACCTGCTAAATTACAGGTACCATGGCTGAAAAAGTTCTTGATGGACAAGAAATGGCATAGCCGAGCCTAAGATTATTTTTCCCAGTTCCTGTTTCTGTAGGTAGTAGTAAAGCCTAAAGCAATGGAGAAGTAAATGTCGTTGCTGCATGTTTCTGTTGAGAAATACTTCGTTTGATTGACAATATTTGTTTCTTTTTGCAGGTCAAAGAATTTTTGAGCACGTTATAATCCTCTTTGAAGCACAGGCAGAGTCAAACTGTTCCAAACATCTGTGCGATCAAAGTCTGAAGTACAGCTTCTGCTTTTATAGAAGGCCTCCGGAGAGGCAGGACTCAATCCTGTTGATTTAATTGTGAGGAACAAACAAACTTTGTGAATAGGGAAATTATTAAATAAATCAGTAGGTCTGTTCAGTATTATGTTAAGTAACACACACAAATTCTGAAGATACTAGAATTCTGAGAGTTCCCAAATACTGGCGCCTGTTTCTAATCAGACCAAAAACTTCTGGGGTTTTTTATTTTTTTTTTTTTTTTTTCAATAAGTTCTTCTGGGGTATTTTATTGTTTTTTTTTTTTTAATTTATTTTGTGCCCAGTATCTATTTAATTTTCAAGAAGGTAGTGGTTTTTTAGCTCTCTTGAGCGGTTTTTTTAGTGGAATTGATTTTTAATGGATGTCTCATTGCTCTGAGGAAGAAAACAAGTAAAAACCATTTTTGCAGGTGAGGGAATTCTAATAGAAGCTGGAGTTTTATATTGTAAGGTATAAAAAAATGTCGTCTGACAATTTTGATAGATGAAGTTCTTTGCAGGATACACTGAATTAAAACAAATCCAAATATGTCTGAACTTGTGTAGATATCAAGTTAGTTTTTATATCTGTTTTCATTGTGCGCTGCAAACTAGGATATTAAGAGGCTTTCTAGCCTCTAGCATGTTTGGGTTCCCACCCCCCCCCCCCTTTTTTTTTTTTTTTTTTTAAGCTTTTAATAAACCAGACCTGGTTTTGGTTGTTGGTAAGTCCTCTTTTCCTGTAGAGGAGTACGTTTGCTTGATGGGTACTGTAAAAGGAAGAAGAAGATTTTGCAAATGGCCTCCATCTGTAAATGACGTGTTTCTAAACATTGCCTTAATCGTGTTTTGGATGTCAGAGGTGGCTTCCTGCTTTTCCTCCAGCTTCTCCATTTGTTAACTGGGCCTTCTGGGTGCTTATACAAAATACTGCAATATTTCAAGTAGGCTGTCCTTTCTCATCTTCTTGTAGTAAGAAGGGGAGACCTTTGTGGAGTAGCTGCTGTTCTAGTGCATCTTGTTTTATTAACTGAGCCACTTTTGTTTCAGGTACAGAAAATATGAACTACCCAGGGTACGCATCTCAAGTACTGTGTTTTATGAGCTGCTTTGTTCTGCTTTAAACATTTCTGAATGATTGCACAGTTGGCTTTTGAATGCAAAATGTTTTTGTAAAGCGTTTTATTGTCTATTGTGGTGCCTGTGTTACCTGCTAATTTGAGATGAAATTTCTTATTTTGTGGTTGGAATTGTGCTGGCCTTCTCTAACCATTGACTGCGAAATAAAAGTGGTTGGAAAGACTTTTTCAATGCTTGATAGTGTTGGCTCCCTTGTCTCATAGAAGAAAAAATGTTGTGGATTGCTGGTATGTAATACTAGTACAATGGATGAATTTAAGATTATGTATTCTCAGTGTATTTGGTGTACAAGTTCTCCAAGACTTCTGAAACGCTGTGACTGGCTTCAGATTGTTTCCCATACACGAAAGCGATCTTATGGGATAGAGACACAGGATTATATAAAATGTATTGTATGTATAGCTTACTGATCAGAAGTGTTTTGTGTATTTATGTTACAGTGCGGTGTGGCAATAGTATGGTAGAAAATCTTGTTTTGGACTTCAAGGTTGCCTAGTAAAAGG